GGCTCTGTGGCTGCATATTTTACAAAAACCTGAAGAAAAAAAATACTTGAACTGAATTATATTGTTTGTTGTTTTTCTCTCATTGCAAGGCTTTTGCTCTTTTGCTGAGTGGGCGTGGGACAGAGTGTCTCGGTAGGCTTTTCTTAATCCTGAGTGGACAAGGGAACCATTTTCTCCAGAGGTTCACAGTAAGCAATGTTTCAGCAGGTTTTTTAAAAGTTGAATGTCATCTGAAAGTTTAAATATCTCATCTGTCAATTGGATATTTCTGATGCTTAAATTAAAAATGCAATAAACATTTAGTCAATTTTTGTCAATGTGTTTTTGTTTTTTAATGCGCCCTCTTGTATTCTAAACATGGTTATTACAAATTAATAATTATCCACAGCTATAAGCATGCCTCTGAAACTCTGTTCAGTAATGGCAGGCTTAAATGGTTGTTATACAATCTCTGTAATATGACAATATGTGTCATCAGCACAGTAACTGATGCAAACACCATAAAAGGTTTGCAAGAGCAGCATGCATAACTCACCCAAACAATCATTGACCTTTCATCGCTTATCCTGCAATCCGCTGAGACTTTCTGCCGCCGCTCCTCTATGCAGAGCACCTTAATTGTACCCCATCCACTTTAATCTATATCATAATTTTTTTTTTTATGCATTATGAGTTTAATTACCAGACTGATCTGACATCTTCCAAGCCCTTAATTAATCACTGACGAGCAGCGTCTGCCCAAAGTGCCTGGCTCCAAGGAGAAAGACTTGCGCAGCGCTGCAACAGTCAGACCGCAAAACGCGATAAGAGAGCAACATTTGCACCCAATCAAACACACACAGATTGATAATGAGCGAATGATGCAGGAACATGAAAGAGACACAGTCAGGGACAGTCTGAAACCAACACTGCTGCAGCATGCACGGATAAAGAGGGGGCTCTACCCCCCTCAGACATGACTGTGCGCCCTGGAACCAACACCGGAGAACGAGATGTTTCCATAAACTAGGTTATTAGTGAGTTATGGCAAACCTAGATTTTAAACATACAAGTTAAAGCAAGAAAATTAATTGCAGTCAGAAAACATTAGGGGACACTGAGTACATCTCCAGTGAATAAATTACGTTTATCCTATACTATATGTATATTTCTCTTAAATCTTTACCTCATAGAGTCCCTCATGGTTCTGAAATCATGCGCAGCATCCCGCTTGACAATTAGGATGCATGCTGCCACAGAGGAAGAGGCTGTCCATAGTCCAATGTCAAACAGCCTGAAAAGCAGCAGCAGCAGCAGATCGCTGTGCAGCTCCTGAAGAGTCCTCCGTTTTCCAGTCACGCACACCTGAACCTCTTCTCCAAACACCTCTCTCCTTCCTCTGCTCCTCCTCTTCTCAGCACATCTCCCCTCACATTATCCTCCGCACTCCCCCTCCTCACCGCCTCTCTCTCCCCTGCTCTTCACGACCCCCTCTGCTGCTGCTTATATTCATTCAGCATTGCTACTTGTCTCAAGCATTTATACATTTTTTTGCTGCTTTTCTAACAAAAACTTGTTACCCCCACTCATACTGACCCAACTAGGAATGAGCCATCAGTGTTTAGGCTGTACGTAAAGGTGTACTTGAAGCATTTAGATACTACATTCATTTCACCCAGATGCCTGAGCAAATACTGTCTCATATTAGATTAGATTATTGTATTAGATTATATTAGAATACTAGCAGATTCTGCAAGTTTCTTCCCGCCACCATCAGACTACTGAACTGTTAAAAAAAAAGAAAAAACTCTAAATCATGTCACAGACTCAAAAATAGTTCATATTTGCAAAAAATATTAATTGAACCATGTTCTTTCTCCCACACTGTTTACATTTGATCACTGCACATTATGGAATGAAAATGTTCATTTACTGTCTGAAAAGATGTACTAAGCAAAATTTCAAAAATAACAATAAAAGTTGTCTTAGTCTGAGTCATTGTTTTTTGTCTGCAAGATGGAACAGTTATTGGAACGTTTTAGCATGAATGTCCCTGCCTCAAATCTGGAGCATTGGTGATAAACATGTGAGACCATTCAATGTTGCATTCCAGATTCCTCTCGCTTTAGCCGTTCCAACCAGCTTTCAAGTGGGAGGCAGCTTAGAAAAGGGGCAAAATATGTTTTTAATCTTACCTTGTCCCAGTTTTTCCAGGCCCATTGTATTAAAATCAACCCACAACTGGATGGCTCTGTATTCAACACAAGGCTCAGTTAGCAATGTGTGCTGGAAATTAGCAAATGGAATGCTTCAAAGCTTAAGTTTCCCTACCCCACACCAAATCCAGTGTAGTGACTATATCTCAGCAATAGCTTAAAAAATAATCTGTTTGTTTGCACTTTAGGTGGTTCGCATCCCTGAACATGTCCCTTCAGGGTTTAAATTGTAACTGTCATGTCAATATCAATTTGCCTAATTAATCGCTTGAACTCGATAATAAATAAGCTATAATATTTCTGGGGCAATGTATTAAAACACTGTTTTTTAATATGCTATTTAATGCTTTCTAACTGATGTACCCATATGGATATAGGCTTTCACTGCCATTTATAACCACAGCTGATATAGCTCCTGGCAGCAATACCAGAGACTCACACAGGCTAGAGGTGACACTATAATGATATAGTAATGCAGAAATTTAGCTGTAATCATATTCCTAATTATGTTCAACAATATTTACATGTCATGTTTTTTTTAAAATATATATTTTAAGGAAACCGTATAGTGCATTCATTGTCTGTACCACCTTGCCTTTGCAGTGTTGTGGGGTGTGAGTGCTCATCTTTTTTGGGCAATTGTTAGGGGACACCCTTTTATCACAAGAACCCAAAATCAACAAGAATTTGAACATAGGATTGTCTCCTGCAGGGTAACAGTGCTAACAACTTGGCCATGGTGAATGCCTGACATCCTAGTTTAAATGCATCAACTACTGAGAAACAGATTTCTTTTGATGTGTTCTAAATCCATCTGTCCATTTTCTTTCACACTTTATCCCAGCTGGGGTCACAAGGGGTGCTGGTGTCTATCTCCAGCTGTCTATGGGCGAGAGGCAGGGTACACCCTGGACAGGTCGCCAGTCCATCGCAGGGCAACACAGAGACAAACAGGACAAATAACCATTCACACCTAAGGAAAATTCAGTCATATTTTTAGACTGTTTTTTTTTTGAAAACAGTCTAAAAACATGTGTGAGTTCTCTCCCGAGTACCTGGAGAGTACCCATGCTTGCTCAGGGAGAACACGCAAACTCCATGCAGAAAGACTCCAAACCGGGAATTAAACCCGGAACCTACCCACTGCTCCACTGAGCTGTGTTTTACAGTTGCTGTAAAACAGAAATTCTTCTTAAAACTGTCCAGCCTGACGAGATTGACTTTTACATTTCCTTTTATAAAAAATTATTAATAATGTAACTCATAGTGAAAATCAGTTTCCTTAACCAAAGGTCGCTCTGAATCAATGACTCCCAAAGTTTGGAACTGAGGTCATGGCTAAACAGGTATGGGGTGTTACGATCCTCTGCAGATATTAGACTTTGACATATAGTCATACTGGTGTAAAATTTTCCATCCAAGGGAAACCAACTGATTGCATCAATGGAGTTTGAAGAATTCCTTCCCTCTGGATGAACATCTAGCAACAGTAGATATTTGCTTCCATGTGTCATTGGCCACAGCGATGACATAAAGGTTGTTTGGGAGTATCTGCTTTATATATAAACATATCTGTCCTTCCAAAATAAGGATTTCTGTAGTTTTATAATGTTTTAAAAATAATAATGAGAGTGAGAATTTAGACACAGATTTTATGAACAGGATTCCCGTTCACCCTCTTGTGTTTCTGCCTACAGTGTCTCCTTCTTTATTTTGTGAGCTCTCAGAATGAGCCTCCGCTATTTGACATGAGACAGAATAAAGAGGGACACATCTTTGTGGAAAGATCACAGTATTTTTCTGGATATCCATCTTTAGGTTGATTATATGCTTTTATGGCTTGCCACAATAATTGGCTGTGGTGGTGCCACATTTAGGTAAATCATTTTGCCATTCAGAGCAAAACGTTTTATTTTCTGAATAGCATGTGTCATTGTTATTTATAAAAGATATCAGCTTAGGTCACGGAAGAGGAGATCAGCAAAGGGAATAAAAACTGGAGAAGTTGTCAGCCGGTTTTCTCCTTTCTGCTTTCCTTTCAACTTTCTGTCTGAACTTTTCTTGATATCTCAGTCTTTTAACACTAACTATAAAAAAGTTGAAAGCACCCCAATCCCCCCACTTGTGAAATCTAATGTTGATAGACTGAGTGTATCTATCTATTCTTTTAGACAAGACAGACATCAGACGTGACTCCATGAGTTGGGATGACGATGCAGGGGAGAGATCGATTAACATTTGAAGTTTGATTGCGGTCGCACAAGAGTAAAAGAGCTATTAACCTATACGGATTTGTTTGGCATCTGCCTATGGAGCCAGAGAGATTAAACAATTAAGGATATAAAATCAATGCAAACCTAATGAAAACATTCCAACCATTGCGCAATAAAAACAGACTGCTCCTGCCAGTAACAACAAGCCTCTTAAGAATGTAAGAATATGTGCTATTAAAACAGTATATTTTTAGATTATACACATGCAGAGGTTATGACAGTAATTCTTAAATTTTTAGTCTCTTCTTTTGTTTTGCCTGAAAATATTATAAGCTGCAGCTGATGGTAGTAGAGAAAATTATGAGTCAGTTAAGGGCTCTAAGCAAAAGTTTCAATAGACTTATCAGAGTCTACTTGTTTTTGCATTCCTTTAGGAAAGAGATATCCCAGAAGGTGTCCAAGAAAGGTTCATCTGTTAAAGCTGACATGCATCATAGCCTACAATGGCAGCTATGATGTTAATAAAATCTCCTTTTCATTATTTGCATGCCAATATAGACTTTCACTGAATAAATAAGTCAGAGTCACATACCTCAGCTTGTAGGGGTGAATACTCCCACAGAAACACAGCATCTCTCACAAGTGCATCACAGCATCATGCTCACGGTGGTTAATCTACTTTTTCACTATGGCAACAAATAACCACCCTCCTCTCTCACTTTAACTCTCTCTGTCTCTATCTCTTCTGTTTGGCTTCCTTTCTGCTCCAATGGAAAGGCTTCGTCCGTCACAGGTCTCCCACCATCTCTCTGTGTGCTGTCTGTCTCTCCTCCTCTATCTCACTTCGCACCTACCTCCAAGATACCATCTGGAGATGCATACTGGTACACTGCAGCCTGAGGAGAGATCCAGAGAGAGATGGAGACAAGTCTACGGGATACATGGGGGGGTTTAGAGCTTGGCTATGACAAGGCTTGGATTAATTTGTCTGCCAAATGCATTTGGGATTACTAGACCATTAAAAGAGCATGACATATACATGCACAAACATACACAGCTGCATTTTTAGATACCACCTTGTCATGCAAAGACATAAAGGTTGGACATAGTAGCAACCTTAAATTTGATCTCCTTTCTTTTTTTGTTGCTTTTATTTTTAGAAAGCCTCTGTCGCTCTCAAACAAATATACTACTGTGCAACCACGTGTAAAAATAACACATTTTTAATGTACATGCAGCTTTTTTATGAGCAACAGACACAGCTGACTAAACAGCCAATAAAGAGAACATCATCTCTTGAGTCGCATGACTCTCAAGCTATTTTTCATGCACAACAGAGCCAAGTGATTTCTCAAATAAATTCTAGGTTGATTAAGAAATATCAAAAGGCAAACAATGAAAAAAAACAACACCATATATTAAACCAGCACATTTTAACTTCTTTGTAAGCTCACAGTTAGTTGGTTAGTGCAGACTCATCAATAAAGGCAGACATAGCCTCCAAAATCTGCCTTTACATGCTTACATGTACAGTATTTAATTTATTGAACAAGCAAACCCTTTCTCAGCTTGTGTAATCTGAATTCCTTTTTCATTTCCCATTCTCCATCAAAATATTCTTCTTGTATTTAAATATAAAATTTTTATCATGATGGTATACAGCATGTAAGAGTTTGATGGTGTATGTGAGACACATTGAGATAATAGTAAAGTTTGTGAGAGGGCTTGAAAGTCTTTATGCAAGTGAATAGTTTTGATTGTGAGAGAGCAAGAGCAAGTACGAGCATTTGGTCTCATGGCACAACCCACAAGATGCAGAGGTCTAATTTAAAAGGAAAATTCATTTTAAGCATCAGGTTATGGTGCAGGTCTTGAGAGAATGTTCTGCTAATTCAAAAAACATTGTTACTGTAAAGTAGAAAGATAAACCCAGGAATAAACTCAATAATGTTGAAGAATTCTATCTGCAGAAGAATGGTCCATACATTTTTACACACCAGAACATGCTTACACTCTTTCAAATGGAAAGATACATACAGTCAGGCACAAACTCACTGAAACATAAGGCCAATTAGAGTGGTGAATTAACTTTACATACATGACTTTTGACCATGGGAGGACGTCAGATTACCCAGAGAAAATCCATAATGGATGGGGAGAATGTACAAACTCTACCCGGTGAGGCCTAAGAATCGATGTGACACAACGACAATGAAGCTGTGATATTAAGCAGCCAATAATAAACCAGTTCAGGTAAATCTAATGTGCTTATTTTTAGGGGAAAGACAATATATCTTTCTCAGAAATGTGAATTTAAGATTCATTTTTAAACTCCAAACCAGTTAAAGCTTAGATTAAATGACTGAAGGGATTTGAGGGAAAATTGGAAAAATGCGCTTCATTTTACAAGCAATAAAACCTGCAAAAAGACATATTTATTCCTTTATTGCCTTATCTTTATCAAAAAGTAGATAATGATGATGATAAAAAAAAAAGCCAAAATTGAAACCTAGACATAATCTTAGAGGAAGATCAGAACCCATTAAATCAGGCTTTTCATTCAACACAACAGACCAAAGCAGAGTCCACTTTACTGTAGGTTAAGCCCAAATTTGTCTAACATCTCCAACTGCATCCTACCATCAATTTTGAGTAAGAAACTTGAAGATCATTGAAGTCCTCCATTTAAAACAGAGAACAACCAGAGGAAGCAGTTCTTTTAAACTACTCTAATGCAAACTGAAGGTAATGGACAGAAGATGTTATCAGTCACATTGTCTGCCAAAAGAAAAGCTCAAAATTGTTTGAGAAGGAAAGCTGCCTCTAGCTAGTAACAATTTTCAACAGGAGAGAGCAGGAGAAGAGGTGACATGGTGAAGATTTTAACATCACCACTATACACACTTGGACAAAACTAGTTTAATGAAAGAAAAACTCACAATTGTCACATAAATAACTATGACAACCAAAATAATAAATATATATTCTTTGAAAGCAAACTAATAAAAGTCAGATGTTACTTTTCAGTCATGCTTTAACAAATAACAAACTCATAGAAAGAGCTGGGACAAAAAAGATGGTATTCCCTTAGAAAGGACTGAAAATCATACGACCAAAGGGACATGGAAAATCAAGGTGTGGCCACTAGCTAGTATCACATGCGTCTACAATTTGTAATGGTTGTCTTTCATTTCTAACATGTACCACATTCAGCATGGACATGTCAAGGAAAGAGTTGTCTTAGGAGACAGAAAGAAATTATAGACCAACATTTTAAAGGTAAAGACTTTAAGACCATCTCCAAGCTGTTAGATGTTCCCGTGACTACAGTTACACATATTTTTTTACACATCTTTCCACAATCACATTGAGACATGCCTTTATCCCGTTTTGCCCATGAAAAGATAAGCAGATCAGAGCAGAGGTGCAGTCCTCACATTCCAACCTATTCTGCTTTATAGGTTAACCTAGAGAAAACGAAGGAGACATACTGTAGGTCTTGCTAAGGTTATACAAAGACCAGATAAGCATTGAAAGCCTCCCCAGCACCATATAGACCCACAGACACATCATTCTTCTCCAAATCTCCTCAGGGCATGAGGTTTATTACAGTCTGTCTGTTATTCCAGCAGTTTTATGTTAAAGAGCTATAAACTGTGCTTCCTTGAGCGTGGTCAGCATTTCCATCATCATCCAAATCTGACAGTTAGTTTGTTTGTAAATGATTTGTCTTCACTCTTTTTGAATTAACCCTTTAAAGGGCAAGATAACGTTTTAGATCACTTAAGTACCCCTTACAAATGGAGTCCCCTCCGTCACTCAGTGAGGTCTAGAAGCACAAGATCTATATCCAGCCATTCAGCAAATACACTGCTACATGGCTGTTCATCTTATTTTGACATTTGATCAATTAGATGAGCCTTTCAATGATATATTACCTACTATAAATTAAGTTGATAATAAAAGTTAACAAGTCAAGAAAAAAAGGTAAAAAGCTAATTGAAAAGTAAAGTAAAAAAGTTAATAAGCCTAGTTAACAATTATATTTAGATTTATAAGCTAAAAAAATTAAGTACCAGTATCAGCATTTCTTAAAGAGAATTTCTTATAGAAGTACTTTTGTTATGTTGTTATTTTTAATATATTTTAGGCAAGTTGGCGTTTCTTGTTATTACATTGACATAAATTTTTGCCATCAAAATGTCCATATTTTTTGAATGTTACAAAGGTAATAAGAGATTGTCCTGAATTCCAATAACACTATTGGCTTGAAATTTTGTTTTTCAAAGTATTTCACTGAGTATATAAAGGGTTAAATACAAATAGTTGAATAATTCTATCTAATTATTTCATCATTAATACCAAAAACTGACAATTTCCTATACTCTTTGTTCCCTCTGTGTTGTTTTTTTATTTTTACATCATAAGCAGGTAGTGAACAACATTGAGTGCAAGCAGTTACATCTTGCAGCGGTCGTTTCATCCATTGATCCATATTATGTAATGCATTAAGTGGTGACTGATGACCAAAGGACCGCAACAGGGTTAGTGATCACTTGAATGCACCATTTAAAAAGGAATTGACTGCTAGTAATGGATTACAGGATCACTGTAAATCATAAGTCACTGTGTACCAGATGTGAGCTGCAGACTAAGCTGCTTCTGAAACACACTTAGACTTAAAATATGAGCTTCTGGAGGTTCTGTCCTCTAATTTTAGGACGCAACTTAATCCCCTGTTTATAACCTTGGCTTTTAGCATAAATTAACAGTCATTTAGAAGCAGGCCTAAGCAAAATAAACTTTAAAACAGTATAGCTTTTATTCAGATCCCCATTACACAAACCCTTAAAGAACTGTCTCTTCACAGTTATTTTAAAGCTGAAAATCCACGAGCCAATTGTTTTATACTTAAAAAAACAACACACCAGCAGAAGTATTAACCAAAAAAACAAAAATGGACCCCTTGAGACGTCATTAATGCAAATTTGCATCAATAATTTAATTAATATTGATGTAGCTGAGACCAATCAATTGCTTGTAATTGAGAGTAACATGTTGAACCATGTGGGATTGGAAGCAACGGTAGGGCTGATAGAAATCATGTTATTATAAACAGAATGAGGCTAACACTGTAAAGCTGAGTTTGTGGTGCGTGTGAGAGAGGAGGAAATAGCAACAGTTCCCCCTGGTTGGAGGAAAATGAGATTACAATGACAGAATAAACTCTACAAGAAATAACCCAACACCTGTGCTCCTTATGTTTGCATAATCAGTGTGTACTCGGCAGAAGCGCTACATCCCTAGGATTAGATGTTTGGGGTCTTTTTTCCACCTCCTCTACAAATCGCAGAGAGATTCAGTGTCTTTCAGCAAATCAATTATTCAATGGCCTTTCTGAATAACAGAAGATGTCAATGGTTGCCATAGACACAAGGTTGATGTATAGGTTTGACACTTTTCTGTGATATTTTTCCTCTAAGTGGGACAAATAGTGAATTAAAAACATCAGCTTAATGTCAGCGGAGAAATGAGGACGTCAGTTATGAAAGATTCATTCTCATTTAAAGCGCTTCCTGCCTCGCTGACCACACAAAGATTGGGTTTTAATGATGCCCATTTATTTTAAGGCAACTAGACAAGTTTGTGATATCGTGATAAAGATTATCACATTGATTTCCTGTTCCCAATGCCAAAAGATTGATTTACTAGCAAAACATGTGTCTCCTGGGAAATTTTGACATTAGGTAGACATGGTTGCCTACTTAATAAAAGGTATTTATAATAAAATTCCTGTCACTAACAGACAGGTATCTCCCCTGCAGGTTACATATTAATTTCATCCTAGTGTACACTCTTAATAATGATGGTATTTTTGGTAACTTTTAAAGAGTTTGA